AAGATCGAGTATGCCTAATAACGGTAGTTATCATTACTTGTCTTGGAAACAAAAAGCTGTCCGAGATGTCAATAGACTCTCAAAGTTATGGCCCTCGGACGGTCCGTTCCAGAGAAAGAAATATGGGTCCTCGTGCCCCTGCTAATTCTGAGCAGCCATAATCTGTGGATCTACACCGAATAGTCACTGCCCTTGAACCCGAGCGAATCGGTGGGAAGCGCACTGCAAGATTCACCCAAAACGGATTGGCTATGTAGCTATGGATAGCCTACCATGGAGACCTTGGGTTGTAGAAATGTGAGGTTAGTTAACCCCCTCCAAGGTATCTGTGCTTCCGCAAGCAATGTCGTCCATAAGAAGACCCGTAGTGCCAACCGAAAAAAAAAAATATGGACAGGCATAATATTTATACCTGACTTCTTTAAATTTAATAGATAATATACAATAGATTCCAACGGAACATCCCTTTAAATTATTTAGTTTTACTCCTTAGAGCAGGGGTTCCGAATCCAGAGCTCACGGGCACCACTCTGCCCGCGCGATGTCACTTGTGCCCGTAATGCGCCTATGTCTAACATAACCTTTACCGGCCATCGCTTTCACTACAGTTTTACTGTTGCCTGCTACAGATCGAAAAGTTTTCTATTAAAGGTTGAATATTTATTTTATTAAATATCTAAAATTAATTGTAAGTAGGAATTCTCACTTTGAAAGATATAATTTATTTTGTATGTTTTCAAATCATCATATTTTTACGTGGCATGCTGTAGATAGACGAGTTTTCAATTCAAATGTTTGTATAATTCATTTATTAAATATATGAATATTTAAAAATCTAAAAACAGTTTATAATATGAAAATTCCATAAAAATTCATTTATAGATTATTAATATTGTATGTTAATCTCTTTCTTTGGTTGTAAAAATAATGAATGAAACTGTGGATAACAATAATTAAAATTGAAAATGTGTTAATTTAATATTTTAAAAAATTATAGAAAATTAATACAATCATTGCACTTGGTTTTTTCGCCTTTTCTGTAGAAATATATTTCAATAGTTTTGGAAATTATTAAAATGTCTACTATACGTATAAATATACATACCAAGACATAACCTATAAATGTGCCGCTGTAGAAGAAATGTTGGTTACCTCTGGCTTAGAGGAATCACATATAATTTTAATTTTTATTCCCATTTCGATAAACAGATACAATATTGGTTTTAGATCCTTATAGTTCCTTTGATTACCTACTGTTCCTTTTTTTTTTTGTTCTACAACTACAGTAAAAGCGTCATCCGCCAAAATTTCATCGCCCAGAGAGACGATATAACACTCATGTACAGCAAGTAGTAAAATGTTTAAATATTTATCGGCAGTCATTGGAAGAGCTCTAATGAAACGAAGAAGCCATAGGAAATGAGAGGGCGACCGGAGTGATTATTGGTAGGAGTAGATTTAGTTGGATTGGCAATAGAAGAATAGGAAGCCTTAGATTGAGCGGGGCGGTCGAAATGGAAGCTAAGCCCAGGAGTGCTACGGTCAAGTAATCGAAATTAAACATTTATTTACAGCTCTGCCAGATGTTTATTATTATTAATTAATTAGTTGAGTACATGGAGCCTTTCGATTCTTCGTTCCTCAAGATCCATAACCTTTATCCATTATGGAAGTTCCGTAATGGAAACCATGTTTGTTTTACATTTAATAATACTTTCTAAAGCCTGAATTTAAATTACCAATATTCTCCTTATTAGGAATCCAGGATATGATATGTTTGTAATGACGCAGTGAAAGCATTTTACGTCCATTGTCCAATAATAGTCTTTTCTTTTTAAGATGATTATTAGTTGTCTTTTTTTAAGTATTTCATGGTAATAGAATTTTACATCCCTAGACCGCTCAATCATTCCCTTGCAACAAATGATTAGAAAATCTTTAGGAAATTCTGGGCTAAACAACTAAAGAAATGAAATCAGTTTCGTAACTATTAATGCCAGCGGATTGCATTGGTATTTATTTTCAGCTTTAAAGATTGTGTAGAATATTTATTTCGGTTTTTGGAATTCTTAAGTTTTATATTATAAAATTAATGTACCGTGATTTATGCTGTGGTAATATACTACAATACATTTTTTTTTTTAGTTTTTACCTTCATTTTGGTTAATTATTTTCAATAATGAACCATTGTGATCGAAAAAAAAAATTTAACTTCAACTTAACCCTCCCTCAAAATTTGAGGTTTCAAGTTTCAAGATATGCAGAATTCGAAAAAAGGATAAAAAATAAGCGTTTTTCGTTCAAAGTTGGATTTAAAATTAGAGGTCACTCGAGGATGATTCTCCTTCATCGAAATTTGTATCCGTCTTTTCCTTTCAAGATGGCGACCAGAAAAACTTGCGTTGCTATAGACTGTAGCGTCTAAACGAATGTAATGATTTCAATGAAACTTCGCTAAAGTCTTCTTCTCGATGCCCTTTAAATTTATCTATATAACGTACTTCAACGAAAAGAAGCTGGAAAAAATGTTACGAGGGATGATAAAATTCGATTGCAAATAACTCAAAAAATATATATAAAAATAACAATAAAAATTAGTTTTTGATAGTTATTAATTAAACGATTTAGGGAATGTGAGTCCTCCTCTTCAGCAATCTATAAAAAATATACAATTAACATATTATAGGTTCAATTTAGAAACTAGTCATTAATAACTAAAATGGATAACACGTAAAACAATTTTTTAAACAAATATAAATTATTCTACAAACTCTTTTTTTTTTATGCCCTATCAATTCATAATTCAAAAACTTTGATCTACCGATGAAGCGTTGAATTCGTAATAAAATTAAACTGGAAGAAAAGGTTATAAATTAAAAAAAAATATACCATCTAGTCTGGACTGTGCAGAGTTTTTAAAAGTTATTTTTATCTGTATTAACAGCTTTTATTAACGACGATAATGAGAGTTGACTAAATTTAACGAAGAAATCTATTTACTAAGAAGTATTAGTTCCTTGCCAGTGAGGAAACTGGTCTTGGCGTGAGGCAGAACTATATCACCACTAATGGACTTCAAAAGTTCTTTAGATACGACCATTCCAGCTTCTATTAGACGTAATGATTTATTATTGGCGTAATTAATATATTCATTTGTGCGGAGTCCATCTTTTTTCTCAAGAAAATCTACTTAATTAATAGGAAACGAAGATTGTTCAGTAAATTTATGATTATATTTATGTAATACTTAACAATAAAAAAAATATAATAGTAATAATTATTCAGACGCCAGGCGCCACATGACGTTAGTATTAACTATAGTTATGACTCATTTCTTATCAATTAACATTCAATGTTATCAAGGATTTATTTTATGAAACATATTAATTATACTAAAGTATGACCGCATATTTAAGAAGTGTGATAAGGATGAATAATTTCCGAAGATTAAAAGATTAGGTGGAATAATAAATGGTACAATATATGACTTAGTTAAGAGTTAATTATTTAAATAGAAAGATAATTTATAAGCTTTTATCTTTAAGGACTTCATGGAAGTGTTAAAATTCGTGTCGTAAATGCTTTTAGTAATTCTCGAGTAATTAATCACGGTGATGTATTCATTTATGCTAACAATTCATTTATATATTTACAAAATTTAAAACCCCTTTTTTTATTATTATTATTTTTTTTTTTTCCTTGAAGTATATCGATATATGAATATTAAAATTTGATTATCGAAAACCGATATTTCCGCCCAAAAATTAATTTAAAAAAAATTAAATTGAAACTGTCTATAAAGAATACCTTAGAGCTATTGGTTTCATTATTTTTTTTTTGCAATTTTTTAGTTTTCAACTTTTTTATTTTAGCTAATTCAATTTTGATTTTCTTAATTTTAAGCAATTTAATTGATTCTCTAGTTCTCAGTAATTAGTCTTTTTAATAATAAATAATAATGTTTTTAAAGCTATTTAGTAATTTATTCAATATCAATTTTCTTCTAACCTTTTTATTTAATTTATTATTGCCTAATTTGTTTTCTGATAGACAATATTTAATTAGTCAATTAAAATTATAAATTTTTAATTAAAATGTAATTGTTTAAAAATTAAAACTATAACAAATCTTAATACTTAGATGTTAATCTTCTTCTCCATATTAGGATTAAAAACATCTATATAAAAAAAAAATTATTTAAATATCGAATTACTATTATCATATCGATTTGTTAAAAAATATTAAAATGATATATATAATAATCCTGTTCCCTTTTCTAAAAGAATAAATTAAAAACATGGAGAACTGAATTATCAATATTTTGATTTCTGGTATATCATCCTTTTATTGCAAAAAGTCCTTTAGTGGCATTTCATAACTTACATTTACTAAGAATTTTGATGAATTTTTCAGTAGTAAAATCAGGAAACTGTACGATTCTTGTAACTATGTTGGACATGTAAAAATGTTTGTGTCATTTTGGTGAATTACAAAAAATGTACAAAAAACGTAGATGCAATTAGTGAATTTTAAAAATAAAACTCATGATTAGTTAGTTCCATTTTATATCTATTCTCTTTCAAAAGATTAAAAAATATCTAATTAATATTTCAGTGTATTTGAACAATATAGATAGGATATTTATCGATATGTTTGCCGTATTTTTTACAGTAAACTAAAAAAAAAAAAAAGATGTGAATTTAGATATTATTACATACTACCTAACACGCCATAAATATTCTGCACTATAATACTTGTGTGAAAAGTTTTGCAAAAACGAAATTTTCGTTGTAGTTGGGAAACTGTTTATGTAATAAAATATTTTGTACAGGAAAAGATTTTGTTATAAATATAAAAGAAATTATAATTAATTTAAACTTTTCGTTGTGATTTGGTTAAAATACTGATACATCTTTCGTTGGTTTCGAAGATTGATTTTGTTGGTGACTTGAAAAATTTATTTTGAGAAATTGTTAATAGCGGCTTTGAGATGACGCCACCTTGTGCCCACTCCCTCTCACACCTCCCATCGGAATGTCATGTCCTGTTTGGACTGTCCCTAGCATGCCCATGCCCCTGTCACAATATAATAGGATACTTCTCTTATATTTTTATTTATTTATTTTTCTGGCTGGTTATCAATGTTTTTTTTTTTTTATAATTTTATTTTATAAACTTTTAAAATGAGAAATAATATTCTGGGTGTCGTATATTTGTTTTTTGAGTAAACAATCGTCTTATATTTTTATCATAACCTAAAACTAATTTTTTTTTCCGAATAAAAATAAATAGTAAAGCTTATTTAATATTAAATATCAGTAAATATTAAACATATTTAAGTATCATTCATATCGTAATAAAAAACACTGCAAATTATTTATTACATATATTTATTTACTACTACAGTTATGGTTTGTTATTATTTTTTTATTCAGTCCTTGGTTTAACACATTTAACATCTTTCCTCCGTTTTTATAAATGACTTATCTACAAGACAATCCTGAAACCTTAATGGACATAGGGACTTGAACTGTGTGGGACAGCAGAAAATTTTCTAACATCAAACGTATCCAATCCCTTCAATCTAAAGTCCTTCGAACAATAGTTGATGCTCCATTATATGTAACTAACAAAACCCTACACCATGACCTTAATATCCCATTTGTCCTAGACCTTATCCCAGAAAAATTCTCCAAATTTCATCAGAACCTTACCGATCATCCAAATCCCCTTCCACAATCTCTATCCAGCACAACCCATCCTTACAATCCTCTCCGAAGGTTGAAGCGGCAGTGGCCCAGAGACCTTCTGTGAATAAGCATATATTGGAGTTTTGACAATGGCCAGATCCTCCACTCAAGACAAGTATGTGTGATTACAGCGCCTTTCCTCAGCCTCTGCTGATTCTTAATACCAGTAATGCGGTTGAGTGAGAGGCGCTGGGATCTCCTACAGTCCTACATTTCTTCCACGAGTGGGAAGAAAGGCTTGGCTAGGAGTTCTTCTGAGTGAATGGATTCTGTAAATATTGTATAGTTTGCATGTGTTTTAGTTGTTATTTTGATTAGCTTAGTTCTTCTGTTTGTTTACATTTACTTTTATTATTATTATTAGTTTCTGTATTATTTATTTTTATTTATTGTTGATAGAGCGTGAATGTGCTCTCTGAACACTATTCTAAATGACCTTAATTGTGACAGATTGTAATATTTCTGAATAAAAAAAATGAAATGAAAAAAAAAATACTGAAACCAAGTGCCAGATGATAATTTCGAATGTCGAATTCCAAGGATCATCGTGGAGTATCATGACACTTTGATGTCAAATCTGAAAAAAAAAATCTGTCGCAAAGTCCCATAGAAAAACCGTGGTCGTCCAATTTCTTGTTTTTAATTTTATGTACCATAATACGTACGAAAAATCTCAAATATTACAAAGAAAGGTCCATATTGAATATAAACCAAATATACCCTTTATAAATTTAGAACATTTTTTTTCTCTTTCACGCCTCTATTCTAAAGGGTCATATATTTTATATTTTATATAATATAAATAATAATAATATAATATAAATATAATATATTTTCTGTTTTTGTAATTTGTGAAGTTTAAATAAAAATTTAAATACAGTAGAGACTCGTCTTTGTCTATCCTGCAGAATTTCTCTTAGTTTTTGCCAGACTTACTTCATTCGGTATTTTTCAAATTGGGGGCATTCTTCTAGAATGTTTTACGGTTTGAGATATATTATTATATTTTTAATACGCGAATACTTCGAGATCTCTTAGAAGGTAGCCATGTATAAACTGGTAGTGTCCAATCCTGAGATGGCACAGAATTACTTCTCTGCTGGAACTTCTGGAGCTGGTGAGCGATTCACCACAATTAGGTTTGAATTATGTTAGTTTACATGCTTTACTTTTCCATACTTTCTCCCATTCTGTTAGCTTTGGTTTGTGTAATAACTTTCAATCTAGTCACTATTTATTCTCCGTTTCTAGATAAGTGTTAAGTTCAGTAAAACATCACTTTTTTATTATAACATTTAGTTATTTTTTAATAAAAAGAAAAAGAAAGAAAACAAATAATACTTACAACAAAATATAATTATTAAATGGTTAACAATTAATGTATTAACAATTTTCGAACATAATAATAATAAGTATATTTTTGAATGCTTCACTAACCAAATTGAGTACTTTACATTAAAAAAAAAAAATTAAATTTCTAGAAGAAATTGAACGATTTAAAGTACTGTATATATTAAAATGTATCTATAAATATCGTAGTTTTCCTGCTTACAACATAAAAGACTATTTCACACAAACAATCTTTCGCAAATAAAGAGAGCTACTTAGCAAATGTGATTAGCGCTATCTTTCGTAATTCTTCTAAACTAATTATCACACTAGACCAAAAAGCCGTTTTTACAATATTTTTAACAGAGACTACATAATAGGTACTATATAAGTTAGTTGTTCATTAGTTGACACCTTTTTTTTTTTTAAGATTTTATAAATGAATTAAAATTCATTTATAATAAGTGATTTTAATTGCAGGAACGACGGATCAATATAATAAAAAAAAATCCGAGTAATCTTGACAGTGAAACTTTTATGACACCGTACATGACTTAAGGATTAAAATTCCTAATTTTAATTCATTTTAAGGATTAAAAATCCAAGAGGGTCTATACCGATTTACTAATATTAAATATATGTGGTTAAGTCATTTAAAAATGTTGAATTATACTCTCACTGAGACCTATGTTACAATAAAATAATAAAAATAAAACTAACTGAAATAAAGTTGAATATTTAAACGGGCGGAGCTCCTTAGAGACGGTGATGGAAGGAGAAGAACCGGGCTGCGATAAAAGGATACGTGGAGAGAGTGCGACCTTGGGGCTACTACAGCTCTACTACGCTACCTCACTGGGGCGTTCACCCCGCCGCTCGTCTTCGTAGGTATTTATGCTCCTGTTTACGTCTCGGATTATTTACTCTTAATAATAAAGCATTTGTAACATTGCATTAATGCTATTAATGGATAGTGGTCTCAGTTCTGGTCTATAAATAAGCTTCCTTTGATTTCTGCCACTAGATAAAAGTCAAAGAAAAGTAAATTTGCTCGATTCGGTTTGTAAAAATAGATGCATGATTTGCAAACATTCATAAATATATATATATATATATATCTATCTTGAATCTATGTTAACAAACCGAATCGAGCAAATCTACTTTTATATATATATATATATATATATATATATATATATATATATATTATATAGTTAAAGTACTTTCCTTATATGTTCCGATCATCTTAAATTTAATAAATAAAAAAACATATATTTTTATTTGGATGAACATATATTGTATTTGGATGACTTCATGAGATGTCTACTGCATTCATTTTTTTTTTTTTTTTTTTCTTTATGCATGTGAGTGATCTTGGTTTTCGGTCTGATGATGCCTGAATTGGCGAAACGCTGGCAAGTTAAGGTTAACCATTTACTTGTATGTGGAGACTTATGGCTTTGTTGTTTAGATTTTTCCAATTATAACATAGTATATTTCTATTTTAAAAATTTTATTCTAATCGTTTCACTATCGAATTTTATATATTCATAATTAATGAAATAGATTTGCCTATCCATTTTTTCAAATTCTTTGCCTAACATTGGGACTAAAATGCATATTCTTCAACTAAGCATAAAAATTTCTGCAACGATCAATAAAAAAAATTATTTTTGAATATTTGTTTACCTAAACTTAAGGAAAGGATTTAAACATTAACACATATAATCAGTGAAGGTTAGGGTCGTTGGAGTTTAGTAACACAATTAATAATAATAATTTGATGGTTTAACATAACTATATTCATACCCATAATAAGCATTTATTTAATGTTCACAAAGCATTTATGGGTCTTCAAAAATGTTGAAGTATAGGAAGAATATACATTTTAACATAGTATAAAGTATGTAATAAATGGAAAATACTTCATTTCTATCAATTATTTTATGTCATGTTAAATTGCAAAACCTAAGATATCAAGTTTCTCCCGAGTATTGAGCTTTTTCCTATTTTAATAAAGTACCAGATAATATATATACATATTTTTTAATTATTTAAAATGTTAAATAATAAACGGTAAAGATAACTAAATTCAGTTTTTTTTAGATATATTTTTTCCACCATTTTTTTTCTGGCAACGTTTCGGCTATTTCACCATTTTCAAGCCATGTTTAAGACTTAATTAGAAAATTGTTTCATACAAAAACTACATTTAACATAAAGTGTGAAATTGGTTTGATTGTTGAAAATGGCGAAAAAACCGAACCGCTGCCAGTGTAAAAAAAAAACTTTAATTATGAATCATAATTCCACCTTAAACAAAAAAAAAAAAAAAAAAAAAAATATATATATATATATATATATATATCTAAGTTTTTTCATTTAATATTGTTAAATTACTTTTTAAAAAAATCGCTTAAACAAAGTTTAAGAGTTTTCTTTTGCCTCTTTGTCACTTTTTTATTTTTTTTTAATAAAGACAAAAGTTGCTTTTTAGCCTCTAAAAGAAGGTATTAATCTTTTGTATCTTTCCTTTGATACTGACGGATCACAATTAATACTTGTATTTTTTTTTCTCTCTCTAAGAGAATGGAAAGTATTAAATGAAACAAAAAAAAAGTAAACAAATACCTTTTCCTTCCTCCATTTCTCTCAATGCGGATTATTATAAATAATAGCAGTGATAAAATTAATCTGAAATCTAGATATTCTCAAGGATTTGTTACATATGCTTTATCTAATTGATATGCCTTGCAGTATGTTATCTGTTGAAAGGCAAAACCTCTTTAGAATTATCTCCGATGGTTTTTTATATTTTACAATCAATCATAAATTCAATCTGAGATGTGCAACATAAGAAAATAAATAGGGGAATAAATTGATCAATGAAACATAAAGGTTTCATCAGATCAAATAACTATGTAAATGTAAATTGTAATTCTTCTCTTCTTTTTTTTTTTTTTTTTTTTTTTTTTTGTTAGGAAGCTGTTTAA